ATGCTCTTTTTCATAAGTTAATTTTTTTATTTTTTTTCTGGATTCTTGAAATTAGTTGTTAAATTGTTAAACATCAGAGCGTTTCTAATGTAAATATTTACATTATGTTACCAACTTGATTCTACTGGGTCCACGATTAATTGGATTATCAGTATGTGGCCACTACCTATAGGTCAGGGATCAACCATCTTAGGCCAGGGGCCACTAATTATAGGCCATGAGCCACTAATTATAAGGGGGGGGGGGGGGGGGGGCAACAGTTTTAGACCGGGTCCTATAAATGATATGTCAGGGGTCATTACTCTTGGGCCAGGGGGCTACAACTCAACGTTTATATGCCTCTGTTGTGGGGTAAGGCCCCAACTTATCTCTGAATTAAATTTGAGGATTTGTTCACCAAGTTGAACGGGAAAGTGCAGGGATGTAACTTGATCAAATTGCGCCCGGGCCGAACTCGCAATAGTGCACCCCTTAATACACATATCATGTACATAGTGGTATATACAAATATGTGAAACCCAAATGGTTCCGCCCGGGGCCGTCACCTCTTTGCCCTCCTCTAGGTACTCCACTGGGGACACTTCATCTTGATCTCAATCAGTTCTAATATTGTACCCGTAGAGAGGAGTCAGCCTACAGTGTTCACGTTGGAAGGGACTAGGCCCACTGGTGGAGGAGATAGGCTTACTGGTGGAGGGGACTAGGCCCACTGGTGAGGGGATCTCTCCCCCATGGTGGCGGGGACTCGACCCACTTAAACATTAATTTTGGACAATCCTTGGGATGTTTAGGTGGACATTAAGTTGGACATCACTACGATTCTGGTTTGTACTTGAATGTAGTAATGTACTGACACATAAATATCTCTTTACGTTTCACATCATCTTCTGTCTACGCAATGAGGGAAATAAGTATGTCCGTGGCTACAGAGGTGGACGGAAACGTCAAAGTTCTTGCTAAACGGAAGAAGTTAGCATGCTCAATGGCCGTGGCAAAGAACTGACAGTTGACCTTACTTTTGGACAGTACAGGTCGTAACATGTAACCTATGATATGAAACCAGTGAAATTTCTCACCTGCGGTACATAAAGTAAACAGGGTCAAGGATGAATATTGCGGTTGGTGGTTTCCGTGTAATGACGACAGGGAATCTCCTATTAATTGATGCCGTCACCTACAAACTCTCTAAGCGTGGAAACTACAATCTTCCACTGCTTAATCTTGTCTTGAAATACGGTTTGTTACAGACGTATAGTTTCCTCTAAATTTCTTTCGTTAATGTAAATGTAACAATACGTTTCTATTGTTACCAGCTTGGTTTGCCCTGACCATCGCTTCCCTATTGTTATTATCTGTATTTATACCCCCCCCCCCACAAACTTTCCTTGCCGCATCCATTTTCTATTCTATAGTTTCCAAACGTCACCAAATATGTTGTTGTTTTTTGTTGTTGTTGTTGATCTCCTCTTGTTAATGGCCATGTACATCAGACTCAATGAACAATTAAATTTGATCAAACGTTGCTCTGAGTTGTCCCATCACTCATTGTGTTGTCACTGAGTGTGTTGTCACTGATTGTGTTGTCACTGACTGTGTTGTCACTTATTGTGTGATCACTGACTGTATTGTCACTTATTGTGTTGTCACTTATTGTGTTGACAGTGTTGTCACTTATTGTGTTGTCACTGATTGTGTTGTCACTGACTGTATTGTCACTTATTGTGTTGACAGTGTTGTCACTTATTGTGTTGTCACTTATTGTGTTGTCACTTATTGTATTGTCACTGACTGAGTTGTCACTTATTGTGTTGTCACTGACTGTGGTGTCACTTATTGTGTTGTCACTGACTGTGGTGTCACTTATTGTGTTTCACTGACTGTGTTGTCACTTATTGTGTTGTCACTGACTGTGGTGTCACTTATTGTGTTGTCACTTATTGTGTTGACAGTGGTGTCACTTATTGTGTTGTCACTTAATGTGTTGTCACTGACTGTGTTGTCACTTATTGTGGTGTCACTGACTGTGGTGTCACTTATTGTGTTGTCACTGACTGTGGTGTCACTTATTGTGTTTCACTGACTGTGTTGTCACTTGTGTTGTCACTTGTGTTGTCACTTATTGTGTTGTCACTTATTGTGTTGACACTGACTGTGGTGTCACGTATTGTGTTGTTGATTTCGACATTCCTCCTACAGTTGCGTGCGTTGACCTCACCCACCAGTGGTCAAGACTTTCAATCCCTCGCCATCTTTGTTATTTCCCACAGCGATGATCGAGTTTTAAAAAATAAAACTATTACACTTACAACACTTGCTACAACACTTGTTACAACACCAGTTACACAACACTTGTTACAACACTTGCTGCAACACCAGTTACACAACACTTGCTACAACACTTGCTGCAACACCAGTTACACAACACTTGTTACAACACTTGCTGCAACACCAGTTACACAACACTTGCTACAACACTTGTTACAACACTTGCTACAAAACTTGTTACAACACTTGGTGCAACACCAGTTACACAACACTTGCTACAACACTTCCTACAACACTTGCTACAACAGTTGTTACAACACTTGCTACAAAACTTGTTACAACACTTGGTGCAACACCAGTTACACAACACTTGCTACAACACCAGTCACACAAAACTTTCTACAACACTTCCTACAACACTTGTTACCACACTTGCTACAACACTTGTTTCAACACTTGTTACAACACTAGTTACACTTGCCAAGGAAACACATTCAGCAACAATTTTGCAATACTTATATTTTTAATAAAGCATTCTCAAGCTCACCAAATATCATAGTTTATAATTCAGTTCTAGTGTAGACCATCATACGGTCAGGTTTTTTTTATTTTAAAAAAATAATTTAAAATGCACACAACCAGGAGAAAATTTGGACAACAATAGTGCTTCAATGACGTCATAACAATAGTGCTTCAGTGGCGTCATTACAATAGTGCTTCAGTGTCGCCATTGTGTGGCAGGAGAGAGAAGAAGAAATGGGGACTTAAGCGAAGGGATCAACTGGATTTGAGTATTTATAAAATGTTTGAATTCAAATTGTCACACATCACACATTTCATGCACCACACATTTCATACATGAAACATAAAATACTCGTATCATTTATACACTACTCATTATGCCCTTTCCCTCAATGCCATCCATCTCATTCATGTAGTATCTCATCTGCAGATCGTCTCATTCTTCGCTCATCTGTGTTGAGAATTATCACATGTTTTGACATGTGTTTTGAAAATGTTCAACTAATCCCCGTACCCCCCCCCCCCAAAAAAAAAATAAATCTGTGGCTAGTTAAACATTTTTGTCCCCAGAATTCGTTGCTTTAAAAGTTTGTGTCTAATGACACATCATCAATAGTTATGTTGTTTAATGACATATCAAAGTTTAGGGGGACCAATGTACAAGTCTCAAAGTTTGGGGGAACGATGCACAAGTCTCAAAGTTTAGGGGACTGATGCACAAGTCTCAACAAAGTCCTGGGGAACGATGGACAAGTCTCAAAGTTGCCCCAGGGACCGGTGCATGATGCATTAATTATGTTTTCTTTTTCCTCGACTTGTAGACCAGCAACACGATGCATGAAGACCACCATTTAAGGAAGGCTGATCTGATCTATTATTTTTTTGTTAATGCTACCAGGAGTTGTCGTTCTCCTCAAGTTGTGCTGAGATAAGTTTGAGAGATTTACACTTGTTAGGAGGCAGGACACTCCCTGGTACAACCACAGCACTGCATCCAATTCCTAGAAACCCATACAACAACTCATTACATACAATTCCAAGAAAACCATATTTTGTAAGTTCATAGTTGACACGTTTTCCCTTCCTTGTTGTAAACTCCAATAAAACTGTGAGTGTTATATAAACTCAGGAAATTGTAGATTGATATTGACAAAAGAAAGCAAGACTTCAAACAATGATGCATTCTCCAAGACTTCAAACAATGATGCATTCTCCCAGACTTCAAACAATGATCCATTCTCCCAGAATTCAAACAATGATCCATTCTCCCAGACTTCAAACAATGATCCATTCTCCCAGACTTCAAACAATGATCCATTCTCCCAGACTTCAAACAATGATCCATTCTCCCAGACTTCAAACAATGATCCATTCTCCCAGACTTCAAACAATGATCCATTCTCCCAGACTTCAAACAATGATCCATTCTCCCAGACTTCAAACAATGATCCATTCTCCCAGACTTCAAACAATGATCCATTCTCCCAGACTTCAAACAATGATGCATTCTCTCAGACTTCAAACAATGATCCATTCTCCCAGACTTCAAACAATGATCCATTCTCCCAGACTTCAAACAATGATCCATTCTCCCAGACTTCAAACAATGATCCATTCTCCCAGACTTCAAACAATGATGCATTCTCACAGACTTCAAACAATGATGCATTCTATCAGACTTCAAACAATGATCCATTCTCTCTGACAACAAACAATGGTGCATTCTCCCAGTCTTCAAACAATGATCCATTCTACAAGACTTCAAACAATGATGCATTCTGCAAGACTTCAAACAATGATCCATTCTCCCAGACTTCAAACAATGATGCATTCTATCAGACTTCAAACAATGATCCATTCTACAAGACTTCAAACAATGACAAAGTTGATATTAGGGCCCAGTGGATGGAGAAATGTTACACAAAAATATTTTAAAACTCTTAGATAAATAAAAAAAATTTGATTCACAACTGAAAATATTATTCAATGACTTCAGGGAAGATTTACAAGAAAAAAATACATGAAGTTTTGTATTACATACACAAATACTAGTGACACATACACTAATACAAGTGAACCATACACTAATACAAGTGAACCATACACAAATACAAGTGAACCATACACTAATACAAGTGAACCATACACAAATACAAGTGAACCATACACAAATACTAGTGACACATACACTAATACAAGTGAACCATACACAAATACAAGTGAACCATACACAAATACTAGTGACACATACACTAATACAAGTGAACCATACACAAATACAAGTGAACCATACACAAATACTAGTGACACATACACTAATACAAGTGAACCATACACATTGAATTACCTGGGATACAATGAATTTGCCATATGTAAACAAAATGAATTGAAAATTGTAAAAAACCAGACCAAAATAAAACCTGTAGTCCAGCTGACCTATTTTCATACCATTCATAGTCCAGCTGACCTACTGTCATACCATCCATAGTCCAGCCGACATGACATAATTTCATACCGTCCATAGTCCAACTGACCTACTTTCATACCATCCACAGTCCAGCTGACCTACTGTCATACCATCCATTTCCAGCTGACCTACTTTCATACCATCCATAGTCCAGATGACCTACTTTCATACCATCCACAGTCCAGCTGACCTACTGTCATACCATCCATGTTCCAGCTAACCTACTTTCATACCATCCATGGTCCAGATGACCTACTTTCATACCCCCCAACAATAAAATACAAAACTGAAGACAACTGTTAGCTTCCATGACAAGTGTCAATAAGAACCATTGAACCCCTATTCCCGCAGTAATCTTTAGAACAAATTTCTTGATATCAAAGACAGCTGCATACAGATCTGAAGGCACTTCAAGGCATGGACATGTGTCAATAAGTACGACTAGTGCAATATAACAATCCAACACATCCCACAGTGCACATCGCACAGTGAACTTCCCACAGTGCACACCCAACAGTGCACATTTACAGAAAACTGAACCTTCATCAGGAGCTAACTACAACTATCAAATTGAACACAACATAATCACATGAAATAAGAAACATGACATTTTTCAAATATATCCACAAAGACATCCACTATATATTGCCCGACTCATCCCTGACAAAAATCCGTGTCTGTCCAGGTTCCATCCATGAAAGGCCCAGGTCCGAAGGGTTGGCCGAGCCAGCATCGTTGGACTGTTTCTGTGGACAAATGTTATAGCAGCTGATAGACTTTAGCTTGGGGAAGAGGTTTGTTATGATGGACTGAAGGAAGACTGAGGATGATTGTAACATCATACAATGAGTTGTAGTATTGATACTGATAAGTAAGCCAAGCAAGGATGGCAAGAAGAAAACTTGATGGCAAGAAGAAAACTTGATGGTAAGAAGAAAACTTGATGGTAAGAAGAAAACTCGATTATTGGAAAATATGATTAAGACAAGCAGCAATGGTTGGCAAACAGAAAATGTATTCTTATAAACAGTGGAGAGATATCTTCTATCTGACTTATCAACAAACAATGGTTAGATATCTTCTATCTGACTTATCAACAAACAATGGTTAGATATCTTCTATCTGACTTATCAACAAACAATGGTTAGATATCTTCTATCTGACTTATCAACAAACAATGGTTAGATATCTTCTATCTGACTTATCAACAAACAATGGTTAGATATCTTCTATCTGACTTATCAACAAACAATGGTTAGATATCTTCTATCTGACTATTCTAAATATCAATCAAGAGATTCTATCTGACTATTCTACAAATCAATCACGAGATATCTTCTATCTCCCTTCTCCAGCTTTTCTACCCCATCTATCCACAATGGACTTGGTTGATGTTTTCTTTCCCTTGCCCTAGTAGAAGCCCAACTCAATGTAACTGATTTAATATGGTGAGGTAAGCGTCAGGATGTAGCAGGTGTTGGTTAGGAACATGCTTACATGAAAGCAAAGCAAAATAAAGCTCAGTGGTGCTCTGATATCAGAGGGGGGAAAAAGCAAAAATGATGAGCTGGTATCAGAGAAAAATAAAGCTAACTGTTGCCCTGATATCAGACCATGTATAAATGGTGCCCTATATTAGACAAAATAAAGTAAAGTGTTGCCCTGATATCAGATAAAAATAAACTTAAGTGATGCCCTGCAGCATACATAAAATAGTAATTGTAAAAACTGTCATAAAATATAGCATCTAAAATAAAACTGAAGCAGTCGAATTCTTTCATTTTGTCTTTTTAAATTATCCAATCATGTTAGACTTGACCAGTTCTATTCAATCATGTTAGACGGACTATTTCTTATCCAATCATGTTAGACTGGACTAGTTCTTACATCAACTTGACAAACTCACATGTGTTTTGCATTATTTATAATTAATTAGACACTTTTTTCAGAGAAATGAAATAAATAAAGCTGCATTTCATTAGTTTGAATGTGGGATTAGCAAAACAAACATTTAATCATTATCACACATGGGATTAGACCAAACAAACATTGAATCATTATCACACATGGGATTAGACCAAACAAAGCTGGTATCAGATTAGAAACAAGCTTAAATTATTATCAAAGATTATAGCCAAAACAATTGCATCACTGAAATGATCAATTCTAATCTCTGCAAACGGGAGCGGGAGGGAGGGGGGGGGGGAGGGGGGGGACCTTCAATCAGCCAGTTTAAGGCAACATAAACTTCACCAGACATTAAACCTTCTGCAATGTTTTTTTTTCTCCTCTACATTTTGTTCCACTAAAAACGTGTACTTAAACCACTTGGTCTAAGTATCTATTAGCCACTTACATCCAGCATTTCTTGACTTAGTCTAAGTATCCACTAGCCACATGTAGCCCGCTTTTCTTTTCTAAACTTTCGCAGGACAAAACAAGGTTTTCCTTTAATACTTGATGTCAAGTGGTGCTGCTGGTGTAGTAAGTGCAACCCTACTTTGGTTGTAAGTCAAAGATTGCGAAAGTTGCAGGTGACGGGATGCACAAGTCTCAAGTGCTTAATCTGAGCAAGTGTTGAGTTATTTATTGCGCAAGTTCAAGTGCTGTCTTGTGTAAGTGGTCGGTTTATTGTCCACATTTAAGTGACCAGATAGAGCGGAAAACATCTTATGATAGTGTTAGAGAACCATCATTGTAGCAAAATGTTATGATCTTAATACAAAATATCAATGCAGGATAATGTTGTTATGATATGGAGTTTAAAAGAAAAGGTCACTTTCAGATATGCATTACATCATCCAATTATTACATCATCCAAGTCGTTGACAATAGAGTTAGTTTTTGAAGACAGGAATGTCTATTTATAGGACCTGAGATTAAAACTTACTTACCCCCAAGCCTTGCAAAACTTTCTACAGTTAAAAAACAAAGGTTAGAACATATCAATTACTGTATGGCAGACTGTGTTGTATCTCAGTAGTAGAGTTAGTTAGGACTGTATCATTTATTTTATAGCAGAATTTGTTGTATCTCAGTAGTACAGTTAGTTAGGACTTTCAATTATTTAATAGCAGGCTTTTTTAGGACGGTATCAAATTTTTTAAATTAGACCATTTTAGATGGTCTAAACTAGTCTACATAGACATTGAGTACTTGGGCCAGTATCAGTTATTATCAAGTCATGTATAAACATTGAGTACTTGGACCAGTATCAGTTATTATCAAGTCATGTATAGACATTGAGTACTTGGACCAGTATCAGTTATTATCAAGTCATGTATTGAGTACTTGGACCAGTATCAGTTATTATCAAGTCATGTTTTCAACAGCAAGCACATTTTTTTTGTTTAAATCGTCCTACTACTGCTACTGTGAGAATGCACAACCGTAAATGAGAAATATCTCATTCATTCAAATTAATGAACTAGTAAAAGTAAGAAATGTGAAAACACAACATTAAAGGAATTACAGTAAAAATAGAAACTTTAGACACACAGTCATGTATTAATTTTAAAATGAATTTATGTCCCCACCGCACAGCCAGCCTGTCCCACCACATAGCCAGCATGCCCCACCGCATAGCCAGCCTATTCCATGCACAGACACATCAATGCAATATTAGATCATAAGTATTCAAAAAAGATATTAAAAACATCAAGATGAAAATATCTAGCCAATCAAACATAATAGATCAAACTGTTGATATCTAGCCAATCAGAGATAAAAGACATCAAACTGTTAATATCTAGCCAATCACAACAAAGCGATACCAAGCTGTTTGTATACAGCCAATAAGAGAGATCCAGTTGTTGAAATCTAGCCAATCAAAGTCAAGCAGCCATGACGAGATTTAATTCCCACATGACACGTTCAAAAGATCCATGAATAATGTTTACCTGGGAAGATTGCATCATTTGTCGTTTTGTGTCGGGGTGAACAGCTTCATTCCAGGGGCTGAACCTGTCAAAAAGAAAGTTTCTGAAATCACATTGCATGTTACCTGGTATGCATCTTGCACTTATACAGTGAGGCACCTGCACACACAAAAACACAATGAAGCACACATACACAATGAACCTGACATACAGTAGAACACACACACAATGAAGCACACATACAGTGAAACACACACACAATCTTCTACACTCAAACACACCGACCTAGCAATAAAACAAACACCAGTATGGAATCAAGCCAGCAAATGAGCCAATCAAGACTTTGTTGTCTGTGTTTCCTGTTACTGTAAGTGACTATGACAAGCACACCTCCCATTGCAGGCCTATATTTGAAACACACATGTAACACATGCACATGGTCTGATGATGTTTTTCTGTGGACACTGCCATGTCTCATTATTCTGCTCTATTCATTTATTTTAGATTTTTTCAATTCAAGGGATATAACTTGCGAAATATTAGGGATGTTACAAATGACCATTTTTTAAACATTTAAAAAAAAAATGATCAAGCTAAAAAATTGTTTTTAATATTTTGTCATAAAATTTTATAAAATTCCAGGATTTACTTTTCTATATATTAGATAAAGAATTCATCAGCTTTCAGGTGGGAGTGTATGCACAATCACAATTCTTAAGGAGCATGGCATGTTTGATATGGTTATCTAAGAAGACTTGCAGTGCCTGTTCCTGATGTCCTGGCTTAGGCAAATTGATGCTAGGACATCAGGGACAGGTCATTTAAGAAGACTTGCAGTGCCTGTCCCTGATGTCCTAGCTTAGGCAAGTTGATGCTAGGATATCAGGGACAGGTCATTTAAGAAGACTTGCAGTGCCTGTCCCTGATGTCCTAGCTTAGGCAAATTGATGCTAGGATATCAGGGACAGGTCATTTAAGAAGACTTGCAGTGCCTGTCCCTGATGTCCTGGCTTAGGCAAATTGATGCTAGGATATCAGGGACAGGTCATTTAAGAAGACTTGCAGTGCCTGTCCCTGATGTCCTAGCTTAAGCAAGTTGATGTGGTCATTTAAGCAGAGTGTTGGGTGTCGGGTGCTAATATCTATTTTTTTAAAATATCTAATGTTTGTTTACTTTACAGAAATATCATTTTCTGTTTAGTCCTCTAGTACCAATGTTCATGGCAATGGTCTAATAATGGTCTTGGCATTGGTCTAATAATGTTCATGGCATTGGTCTCATAATGGTCATGGCAATGGTTTAATAATGGTCATAGTGATGGTCTAATTAATGGTCATGGCAATGATCTAATAATGGTCATGGCGATGGTCTAATTCATGGCCATGATCTAATAATGGTCATGTGATGACCTAATAATGGTCACGACAATGGTCTAGTTTTCCCATGACCAGGATTTATGTTTTCTTTTTTCCTTCAAGAAAGGGATTGCTCTGCACCAACGAAACAGAACAGTTACCTTAGAGCATAAGGGTCATCAAGGTCAGGGGGCTGATACAGCCTGTCATTAGATGACTTGAGAGATTCGGCCAAACGGTCTTTAAACATGTTGGGCTCCTGATCGTAACTGAAAGCAGAACATTATTAAAACCACCATCAAATCCCATCCTGTTGGTTTTAAAAAAACACATGGTCATCTGTTGGTTTTTACGAATTCCGTTTGAATTTATTTTATCAGTTATGGGAACAGGGAGGTAATCGAGAAATTTTTTTTAGATAAAAAACTATCTAACTGTCTAGTAAAATTTCATTATAAAAAAATTGACGCACATTCCCCTAGCACTTTACCGTTCAACTGAACGCATAATTCATGTTTAGTTAGTAGCTTGTAACACGGTTACAAACCTATAAAATAGTATGCCTCAACACCTGCCCTCTCGAGCTTAGTGTAAGAATCAAAAGATGATATTAAATCATACGTACAGAACTGCTGCCTCTGGATTGGACGGGGACGTTGTGTCCATTTTATAAAAGACTTTTTTGGCATACAATATCACTTGCCAAAGATGGTTTACATTTCTCCTGGGGAAAAAAATATCAATAAATGGTATGCTATAACTTTCAATGAGTTTCATCAAATGTTAAGAAATCAGATTTAAAGATATTTTTCTAGAGTTTCTGGACAGTTCTAAATTAATGTTCCCCTAAAAAAGACTGAGTTATATACATTAATGAAGACAAAGGTTCTGGACAGTTCTAAATTAATGTTCCCCTAAAAAAGACTGAGTTATATACATTAATGAAGACAAAGGTTCTGGACAGTTCTAAATTAATTTTCCCCTAAAAAAGACTGAGTTATATACTTTAATGAAGACAAAGGTTCTGGACAGTTCTAAATTAATGTTCCCCTAAAAAAGACTGAGTTATATACATTAATGAAGACAAAGGTTCTGGACAGTTCTAAATTAATGTTCCCCTAAAAAAGACTGAGTTATATACATTAATGAAGACAAAGGTTCTGGACAGTTCTAGATTGATGTTCCCCTAAAAAAGACTGAGTTATATACAATAATGAAGACAAAGGTTCTGGACAGTTCTAAATTAATGTTCCCCTAAAAAAGACTGAGTTATATACATTAATGAAGACAAAGGTTCTGGACAGTTCTAGATTGATGTTCCCCTAAAAAAGACTGAGTTATATACAATAATGAAGACAAAGGTTCTGGACAGTTCTAAATTAATGTTCCCCTAAAAAAGACTGAGTTATATACATTAATGAAGACAAAGGTTCTGGACAGTTCTAGATTGATGTTCCCCTAAAAAAGACTGAGTTATATACAATAATGAAGACAAAGGTTCTGGACAGTTCTAAATTAATGTTCCCCTAAAAAAGACTGAGTTATATACATTAATGAAGACAAAGGTTCTGGACAGTTCTAGATTGATGTTCCCCTAAAAAAGACTGAGTTATATACAATAATGAAGACAAAGGTTCTGGACAGTTCTAAATTGATTTTCCCCTAAAATAGCCTGAGTTATATACATTAATGAAGACAAAGGTTCTGGACAGTTCTAAATTAATGTTCCCCTAAAAAAGACTGAGTTATATACATTAATGAAGACAAAGGTTCTGGACAGTTCTAGATTGATGTTCCCCTAAAAAAGACTGAGTTATATACAATAATGAAGACAAAGGTTCTGGACAGTTCTAAATTGATGTTCCCCTAAAATAGCCTGAGTTAAATACATTAATGAAGACAAAGGTTCTGGACAGTTCTAAATTAATGTTCCCCTAAAATAGCCTGAGTTGTATACATTAATGAAGACAAAGGTTCTGGACAGTTCTAAATTAATGTTCCCCTAAAATAGCCTGAGTTGTATACATTAATGAAGACAAAGTTCTGGACAGTTCTAAATTAATGTTCCCCTAAAAAAGACTGAGTTATATACATTAATGAAGACAAAGGTTTTACAGTATACTCTGCTACATGTGTGGATGTATCTTGGCAAAAGTTTGCCCCCATCTTAGGGATAACTTTAAGTGTACCTCATGGAACGAGATCCCCTCGGGAACAGGATTACCAGGGAACTGGATTAAACGGGGAATGGGATCCCACTTGGGAACAGAATCACAAGGGGGAACTGGATGCCAAAGAGATCCAATTTTATTTTAATTGTTAAAGGGCCATAGAATGTCTAGCTTTATCAAGTTTTATAAGACTTTAACTCATATGTTTTTAGTCTGCCCGGCGGCCCCAAAATGTTTACAAAAGCTAATATAGGTCAATTTTATAGAATAAAAATAAATTGTTTAAATTAAAATCATTTTTTATTTAGCCGCATGTTTTTATACAGGGCCCTTAATTTTGATGAAAGCTAAAAGACCATCCAAGTTTTTTCTAAAAGATATCCTAGGTGACACCGGGTATATTGGTTAGTTATTTATAAATCCCATCCACAAAACTACCATTTTTGTTACCTCCATCGAGGAAAAGCTCTTTTCACATCCAGCTCTCCGGTCACCGGGTGAACCAAAGGATGAAAGACAGGGAACTCAAACACCAATGTCTGGAGGAAATAGTGAAACCAATCAAAACAAATTAAGACTCAAATGTCACATACATAACATACAATTATACCATACAGTTACATTCAGTGTAACATAGTACATACATTATAACATAGTTACATACAGTTATAAAATACAGTTACAGACAGTCATAACATAGTTACCTACAGTATAATATAGTTACATATAGTTATAACATACAGTTACCTACAGTGTAATATAGTTACATTCAGTTATAACACACAGTTACATACCATGTAACACAGATACATACAGTTATAACATCCAGTTACATACAGTTGTAGCATACAGTTGTAGCATACAGTTGTAGCATACAGTTGTAGCATACAGTTGTAGCATACAGTTGTAGCATACAGTTGTAGCATACAGTTGTAGCATACAGTTGTAGCATACAGTTGTAACATACAGTTTTAACATACAGTTGTTGCATACAGTTGTAGCATACAGTTGTAGCATACAGTTGTAACATACAGTTGTAACATACAGTTGTTGCATACAGTTGTAGCATACAGTTGTAGCATACAGTTGTAACATACAGTTGTAGCATACAGTTGTAGCATACAGTTGTAGCATACAGTTGTAACATACAGTTGTAACATACAGTTGTAACATACAGTTGTAACTATTCATTGTTTAAGGAAAGATTGTTTATATCAGTATTTCTTTAATCTTGTGTATCCCCAACAAACTACGCCAGCTAAAACATACCTGGTAGGATTACAGCCGTTTAGCAAACAACTGGTTTCAGAACTCATAATATCAGCAAGATAGTTTTGCCCTGGTCAGTAAAAGCCGGCTCCTCCCACAGGTTTTATATTCTGGGTTCTCTTCCTTCCCCAGAACATCCTGCTGGGTTGAAGTGACCACTTACCGAGACCTTCCATATGCCACTAGTTGTGGACTACTCTGATACCTTCACAGGTTTTATATTCTGGGTTCTCTTCCTTCCCCAGAAAATCCTGCTGGGTTGACAGACCACTTACCGAAACCTTCCATATGCCACTAGTTGTGGACTACTCTGCTACCTTTCAGTTGTGAGGGAGCCAGTATTACCATTGCACCACACTGCTGCCATATTTCAAATAGGTCTTTCCCACTTTCTTAATTTAGCATGTTATAATCTTCAGTGTGTAATACAAAATATTTCAAGCCCAGAGAACATTTTTATCCCTAAAGTTTTTATAGATAAGTTCCATAGCTGAGCATCTCAATTGGTTATCATTAAAATACCATTTAGACATAGAAATCTTACAGGACAATCCCCGTCTGGGTAGTTGTCTGGAATGCTGAGAGAAAATCGTAGTGCTCCTCCTTGATACAAGCCTTGCCTAATGAATATTAGGCCACTCCAAACTGAAATTTAAAAAACTTAATATTAACCTAATATCTATTATTTACCTGTGAAGTGTTCACTTATAATAAAAATGGGAGATAACTGTATTTATATTAAATTTAAGTTCCAAATAAGTTTGAAATTACAGTTATTTTACATATAAAGAATAGGCTCATGTAATGCAATGCGACACATTTAATCAAAACCATCTCAATGCTACAATGGTGTGTTGAAGATATTTAGTAATCAGTGTCATCCAATAAAAAGGTTCCAAAACTAATGCATCATGGCATCAACTCACCTAGAGGAGTCTTAGCACAAGGCATGACATAAACTCCAGGAATTTTTTGCTGCTGCATAAGGTTACTGAAGGGTAAGAAAAAATTTTTTTTAAGTGTTGGGTGGAGGGAGATATATATATTTTAAATACTCTATATTATACATATATTTAGAGAGCTATCAAATGATGCACTTTTTTATACTCATTATGCATGCTTTGAACATAGGGAGACATTACTGGTTTGATATGCAGTTCTCTATCTACTATTTCATGATTAGAAATATATGCCAATGCATAAATTATATTCATAAATATTTATAAATGTGTGTAAAGGTTTATGGGGAACCAACAGAGGACAAGACTAAAAAACACAAAAATTAGATCAGTAGGGGGGTTTCATTAAAATAATTATAACTACTCATATTTTCAGATCATGTCACACATACAACAAGGATATATTATGGATCTGCCCCTTCGATACATCTTAATGTATAGATACAAAGCTATAATGGGGTTACTTAAACCTAAAATAGAAATATTGTTTAATGATAAAACTTACTATTCAGCCATTAGAGAGTATTCCTGAAAGAAAGGCCCGTAACCATTGCTACCCCGGTTATTAAGGCCTTGATTGCTACCCTTGCTACCAGTTTGTGATCCTGCAGAATAAGGCATTGAGTTGGGAATGCTAGGAAGTTGACGACCATCACCACTGGTTCTGTGTGGTGGAGATGGTGAGACCAACGTTATTTCCGGGCTCTAAAATAAAGGTTTCAGAAGCCTTGAATTTTAAATATATCATCAAATTGTAGAGCATTTAAATAGACAAAAATTAACATTTACTAAACTATAAATTATATTGTCATATGATCGAATATCACAATAGGCAACTAATAACATTTACTAAGCAATATCTGTAAATATTTCTACTAATTATTGGCAAGGAATGAACGCACCTGTGACGCACGCTCAGGTGTCGCTGACATCGTGATTTTCCAAAAGGCTGAATTCCGACTAAACTTTTCACAATTTTAATCACAGTTTTATCTTCAAGCAAGTGAGGCACATTAAGATCAATGTCACACCATACAGAAAAATCAGTCATATTCCAAGCAATCTGACAAGATTTTAAAAGATGGAGAGCTTTATATACAATTTATTAAAATGGGTAAGCATTTCTACAAAATAGGCAATATTAACAAATATTTCGGTAAGGATTCGGTTAACAGTAAGGTTGGCGATGTCTCCAAGGGTATATACTTCATTGAGGTTCGCCAGGTCACTTCCAGCTATAGTTCCGTATTCAAAAGATGCAGCTATGTACTTATTTGAAATACAAGTTTCTCTCGCCCCACAACACCATATAAATTTTTTTTTAAAAATTTTCTATTTGTCTTGAAAATGGGGAAAGGATCATCCCTCCCCATAAAATAATGTTGAAATGAACGTTACTGTAAAATAATGTGGAAATATCTCATAAACTGGCAACATGATTAAAATAAATGGCACACAAGAAGTAATTACTTTTTCAACCAATCAATAGTCAGAATTTTTAGCCATGCTCACATCTTTTTCACCTTTTTATTCCTTTGGAACCTTGTAAGGTGAATTTTAATTTTAAAAAATTAATGCATAATTTGATTATAAAATATTTCATTCATATAATCTTTACTATTGTCAGATTTAGTTTATGATGGGAATAATGCTCAATAGGTGGTATCATAAATTTTAACGGTTGGTCTCTTCATCCCAAGTCAAAGTCCAGTGTTGGGATTCCCATAAGTGACATCACTGCACCTAGGGTGAGACAGCTCTTGGCAAAACCCTTATGCTAACACTGAACACCATTTTACCAATATTCCTAGCAATGTACTTCCCTTGAAATGAAGGTAGTTGATTTTGGGTTAGCAATAAGGCCAGGGATGTGTTCCACGGTACATAGGTCACGGAGGTTTCTCCAGGTCAACTTCTGTCTACAGCAGAGACCGACCGAATTTTGGCTTTCAGCCTTTGGTTTCAAAAGAAACCAAAAAGTTAAATTTCGGTTTAATTTCAGCTTTGGCCGAAACTGAAATGTTAACTTTCGGTTTAATTTTGGTTTTGGCCGAAAGTGATTGTAACTTTCGGCCATCTACCAGATGTGAGACTGTCTGTCTGTCTCTAGGCTGGCGATCTGATATTCATTATTGCTCGACGTCTTGCTGTCATTGTATTTTATATGACTAATGCTCTGTGAAAACTTCTCACAGCTGCATGATGACGTACTTGTCCTTCATTTCCAAAAAAATTAATTTTTATTAGGCCTAGGCAAATGTAAACAGTTTTGTGGAAGAAAAACTAGTCGAATGGTAATATTTTATATCATTATTTTTGTTTTTAATTTTTTTCAAAAATGAAATTTGGAACCCTAGGTTTATTCAATTCCTTCATTTGTGACATTCCTTTTGATTTATCATTATCATGCTCATCAATTTTGTCATAGGCCAAGGTGTATAATATTGCATAATCCTAGGGCATGGTAATATTTCTCCTATTTTTTTTTTTTTTTATTTTGGGAAACTAAGGTTTTTCATTTCTTTTTTTTACTCATCAATTTTGTCATAGGCCAAGGTGTATAATATTGCATAATCCTAGGGCATGGTAATATTTCTCCTATTTTTTTTTTTTTTTAATTGAGGAAACCTAGGCTTTTCAATTCATTTATTTCTTGAAATTTATCATTATCATGCTCATAAACATTGTTATTGACGAAATAACAAGTATCCGCATGTATCACTGACTTGTATTATAATTATGTAGTAGGCCTACTGCAGACCTGTTTTTACTTTTATGATTTGGGAGACCAATTTAGATGTCTTGCGATTCTCCGCCGAGAACCATCAGAAGAACTATTTTAAAAGACCCAGTTTAAAAAAATAATAATTTACCCCACCAAGGGAGGTGAGGGACCTTGGTAACCGAATGAAATTTTTACATCACCAGCACGGTAAGACTAATGTTTTGGTACTAGGCTAAATATTAATACAGCTATTTATGAAAACACAAAGCATTTGTATGACGAAAACCGTGAAACATTGTGGTGATATTTCTATAGCCTTAATAATTGATATTTAGATGACAAGTGGCTTTATTAGAGCCACAATAATTATAATAGGTATAAGGGGTATTTTTTCTTAAACCCCCCCCCCCCCCCCCCAACCAGGTCGAAATTTTCTCTTATCATACTACTTAAAAAAAACATTTTTAAGAAATTTAAATTACTTTTAAATTAAAATAGTAAAAGCCAAAGTATTCATTAAATGGTTATTTATTATTAATCACGATGGTCTAATTTTTTTTAAAAAGAATGTAAATATTGATACTTTCCCCCATGATTTTTTAAAAATTATGTAGAATATATGAGTGGAAAAATTTCAAAATACGTACATATTTCAGTTTCGGCTTCGGCCAAAAGCAAAAAGTTAAATTTCTGTTTAATTTCAGCTTCGGACGAAACTGAAATGTTAACTTTCGGTTTAATTTTGGTTTCGGCCCAAAGTCATTTTTACATTTCAGCCTAGTTTTGGTTTCGGCCGAAATCAGAAAATCACGGCTGTTTCAGATTTAGCGGCCCAAGTTGACTTTGTTAAGGTTAGGCATAGGGATTGATTTAGGGTTCGGGTTAGGCTTAGGGATAGATTTAGGGTTCGGGTTAGGCATAGGGATAGATTTAGGGTTCAGGTTAGGCATAGGGATCGATTTAGGGTTCAGGTTAGGCATGCGGCTTAGGGATCGATTTAAGACGTAAAAGTGTGCGCATGGAAATAAACGCGGGCCGCGTTCTCTGAATTTACCAAACTCACTTTCGGTCAGTCTCTAGTCTACAGCGCCGTATTCAAAAGATTTTGATATTTATGTTTGCGTTCACGACTTTAAATTAACTTAATGTAAGTATTTGTTTTCTTCTTTTACTTTTACATTTTTAAAATTGGAGGGAGGGGTTCTGGGCAAATGATTTATTTGTTTCTTTTTTTTAAAGTTGGGGGGAGGGGGGGGAAGGGTTTCTCCTTTCCCAGAAGATCATTTTGCCAGGGCAATTATGAATGAAACTCTGAGATTTCGCACACAGTAACTTATGATATCACTGTAACTGTAATATCAGGTTTTTAAACCTCAAATGTAAATATTTCGTTGTGTAAATACTTTTTAAATTCATTCTGGAACACAGGCTATCAAATATTTCCTAGGCTAGGCTATTGCGCCGACACCCATTTCCAATACAATTTTTAACAGTAACAGGTACTCACTCAAGGTAGTAGTTGTTGGTGGTCTTATTTTTAAGTAAGACAATCAAGAAGTTAAGTAAGCTGAATAAGCGTATAACTAAGGGCTAAGGGTTTGTGTGTGTGCTCCACATTAATCAAGTACGCTTACAATTTAATGCAATATTTATTCAAAAGATGATCCCAGCTTTGTAATTATACTGCCATACAACAGCGTTTCCTAATATTTTACCTTTTTTTAAAATTTCATTTCGACTTTCTTGTAAACAATGATAGCCATCTTGTATAATTCCATATCCGGGAATAACCTAATCAGGGGAAACTAACCATGGAATTAAGGATGTCAGAGAACAGAGGGACTGACAGGCGTTACGCTATGTCACTGTAATACTAATACCTTGACGCCTTACGATGCCGTCAGTAGCGAAGGATGTGTGTTTGGGGAGGGAAATCCTACTATATAGATCTAGCTCGTTTTTCTTCTTTTTTTTTTCGTTTGTTTTGTTGTTGTTTTTTTGTGTGTTTTTTGTTTGTTTTTCTTTCTTTTTTTTTTTTTTTTTTGGGGGGTGGGGGTGGCAACTTTTTTTACATTTATTTTTTTTTTATTGAAATGTAGACTAAACAATTTTTTTAATATAATTTATTTTTATTTTTGTTTGTTTTTTTGTTTTTTTTTTGTGTTTTTTTTGTTTGTTTTTTTTTCTTTTTTTTTTTTTTTTTTGGGGCGTGGGGGTGGCAACTTTATTTACATTTATTATATTTATATAGAAATGTAGACTAAACAATTTTTTTAATATAATTTATTTCTGAAGGGAGTGCGCAACATTTTAATGCTCGGCCTCCTGCACGAAATAAAGTCGTCTGGATTACAGAGTTAGATGACAGACACCCCTCACATTTTATTTTGCAAAACTTACTACTTAGACTTTAGACCATTAGTTTTTAGCTGAGGTGTCGCACGGCTAAAACAGACACGAGGCTTGGGGTGTTTCGTGTTTTTCAGCATTGTGAACAATAAAATGCAGCTGAAAATCCTTATATTGAAACAAGTGGATCGACATCAATGATAAATTTGAGGGAAAGCACAGACTGATTGATAAATCCATCTTCATGATTGAGGCAGATGATGAAGTTGGTGGGGGGGGGGGTAATTCAGACGAAAATGAGTTTGAGTGGGTGACACATTTTGGGGGGGAAAATGTATCTAGAAGTCTAGAGTTTTGGCGACATTGTGGCATTTTCTATCGTTAGCCTAATCCACGGAAGGGGCATAACCAGCATCATTTGTTGAAATGATTTTAGTAAAGTCGTCTAACTTTGCTTTAAGCAGCAGCAACAACAATAAATATACAAATATGGACATAGCATGGGCGCCCGCAGAAAACTTTCTAGGGGGGGGGGCAAAAAAATCGATTAACTTTCTAGGGGGGGGGGATTTTATTAATGTTTTAATGTAGTTTTAATTTACTGTAACGTATTTGTATGGGGAACGAACGGACAGGACATCAGCTTAGTTACTTTCTCTTTATTTTCTCTTTACTTTAATACATTTTTTGTCTATTTTTGTCTAAAAAAATGTATCCAATAAATCCCCCCCCCCTTGCGGGCGCCCATGGGACATAGTGATTTAAGTTTCAGCCATGAAATTTTTTACCCGATATTGCAAAACTGCTAGGCCTGTCACTTATAAAGAGGAAGCATCACATTACACATTGAACATATTTGAACAGTAAGGGCGTTAGATAAGGGAATATTAAACTCTTGCTGAATAATTATCCCACTTTAAAAAGCTGAGATATCGCATGAATAAATTAATAATATGTTAATTTAGATTTGATTAAATAATTAGATATATTATAATTGTAAATGTAACTGTGCAACTAATTAAGTATCGCCCAGAGAGTGTTCCAAATAGAATTCTGAGAATGCTGATTATGGGGTTAGACAGCAGGGGAAGATAAGGCTTAGTTTATACCTCAAGGGGCGGTGGCCTAAAAATTTTGAGATTCACTAAGAATCTTTAAATCATGCTGATTGTTTAAATAAAATATCTCCCCATTCACTGACAAGTTACTGTAATTTGAGAAGCAAACATTATTGACAGATGTTCTTATTTAATCTAGACTATTAGGGCTTATTTCAAAATGCAGGTGTTTACCGTAATGACTCAAAAGTAAAACCATAGTTACAAAAAATGTTATCATGGCGTATGTGCTGCAAAAAATATCACGTTGAGAAAGTAAAATATTCCTTTACTATTGCATAGAGATGATTTTTCTGTTAACATTTTCCATTTTATGAGTTGATCTATAAATAGCTGTACGCCATTGGGTAAATTTGAGTCTCACGTGATGTGAAATGAGGCCCAGGTCTAGTGGGTGAAATACACCCATATTGATAGGGCCTGCTGGCAACACATACGCTGAATCTATCCAATGTGTCATATAACAAGAGAAAACACAGATAACCACAGATACAGGCAAGATACCAATCCCATGATCCAAAAAGATATAATTATCTTTACAATATATTCATCAATCGCTCATTTGTGCTTGGGATGGTTTACATATAACATTTCGAAATGTTTCTGTATCATTAGTGTACGGGTTGGGGTGGGGGGGAGGGCAAAGGGACCTGCCCTGGGACAACTTTTAAAAGTTCCCTTTAACAATCATCTTTTGATCCGCCATTGCCAGAGTCTGCGCGTGACTTTTTGAGGCCCCCTGAAAACGTTCCAAAATGGTTCCACATATTATATTCAAAGTTTAGAAATGTTTTTATCCTACTCACATCACATCTTTGGGCCTCTTGAATATCAGTCCCCCCTCCCTTTTTTGTTTCTTCTTACAACCACGTGATGTCCATTGTGCGATAAAGCTGGGAATAGTTGTCTATTTTAGGCCTAAGATTAGAGTAACACAGAGAGACAGAGAGAGAGAGAGAGAGAGAGAGAGAGAGAGAGAGAGAGAGAGAGAGAGAGAGAGAGAGAGAGAGAGAGAGAGAGAGAGAGAGAGAGAGAGAGAGAGAGAGAGAGAGAGAGAGAGANTTTCGATCGTGACTATCACACACAAATAACAATAATACATTATAAGGTGATAAGCATTTGTAAGTTTGGGTGTAAATTCCGTAGGTGCCTTGTTTTCAATAACAACAAAAGGGGGGTGGGCAAATGATTTAAGTTTAAAAACATCCCCTGGAAATAAACGAAACAGGAACATGGTGAACAGAGGCGTAGCGATGGGGGGGGGGGGCAGGGGGGAACAGATGTCCCCGGGCGCAAGCTAGTTAGGGGCGCCAAAATGTGATTTGATATTATATGATTGGTAAAACTAATGGGTTTGAGAGTTGAAACAAAGAAAAGGGGGTGCTTTAAAATGGATCCTGTCCCCGGGCGCCAAACACCCTCGCTACGCCACTGATGGTGAATTGATAATCCAAACTGTATTTTGATAACAGGAAATAAATCTATAATCTAGGCAGAGCTGGTGTTGAGAGTTTGGTGTATTCTTAGTATCGTATAGGCCTAATCGTATAATAGGTTGACATCTAGTTTATCGTTAAATTAGATTTATATTTGTTATTATCTATTAGGTTTATATTTAGTAACGTACATAAGGAGTAGACTATATGGTTTCGATCCCAAGCGCATGTAGCCGATTATCTGCGTCCGGCTGACTTTAGACAATATCGTTTCTTTCAGGCAACTCTCGGGGGGGGGGGGGCGCAATGTCCTACACTGGAGAAGTCATCTCCCCCCCCCCCCCCCGAAGACCCCAAGGAAATAAAAAACGGCAGAGCCCATTTTTTATTTTTTTTTTAGTTTACTAATAGCCAGTTATTAATGTTAACACCTTTAATTCAAATATTATTAGGGGGGGGGGGGGGCGCAATGTCCTACACTGGAGAAGTCATCTCCCCCCCCCACCCCCGAAGACCTCAAGGAAATAAAAAACGGCAGAGTCCATTTTTTATTTTTTTTGTAGTTGACTAATAGCCAGTTATTAATGTGAACACCTTTAATTCAAATATTATTAAAAATCGAACCTACTTTTTTTTAAAGTTGTAAATGATAGATTTCACTACACAGAGTGAAACCAATGAAATATATCGCTGCGGTCGATATATTTGATGCTCCGAATATTTAAGGGGACCATTTATTAAATCCTCCATTGTATAATAATATAGTCATGTTTTAAGAATATGGCTAAACTTTTAATGGATTCGATTCTATGAATGTTGTATTCAATAAAAAATATATATAAATTTAAATAAAACTTAAGATTTAATCATTTGCATGCTAACGCTGCATATGCTAAAGCTGCATATGCTAATGGTGCACATGCTAATGGTGCACATACTAATAGTGCACATACTAATGGTGCACGATTCATCAATTATTTTTAAACTCGCAATCGTTTGTATTTTCGTTCAATTTTGTTATTAGTGAAGTTGTTAGCTGGATAAAAGACAGATAAGTTTTCTTAAAAATTACTGTAAACATATTAATTTCTTCTTTCTCTTTTAAGAGATCATAATAACAATAAAAAAATATTTAATTAAAAATTAAAAATCTCGAGATTTGAATGAAATATACGAATAGTTTTTTGTGAACTAGTTTTTACAGTTTTTTGTTGTTGTTTTTTTATTATAGTTTTTAGATTGCCTTCTTTGGAGATCTCCTATTTTAAAAAGAAGTATAGGTGAAGAGAAAAATGTGTTTAAAAATAGATTGATCAATTTATCAAAAGGCACCATTTGCACATTACTTTGTAATTTATCTGAAGAAAGTTATAGTACAGTATACGACAAAAAAATAACCACGGTGCGGAATGTCCCGCACCTTGAACGCATTCGTGCTTTTGTTAACGGTGCATAAAGCTCCAACTGCCATGTGGTCCCAGTAGTGAAAAGGAAGAAATAGTTGGTAGTTGTTGGTAATGAGGCCCTCGACGGTGAGGACGGGGATGTTTAAAAGAACACCCCCACAGTAAACAGATTTATCCGTGTTATCGCAAATATCTCTTTATTTTTGGACAGTCATGTCGCAAAGCGATGTTACATGTGCTGGGTTTTAAATGTCCTGGTTCTACTTTTCCTGGATTGTTATTTTGAAGAAGAAAAAAAATGGTCACCTAATGTAAAAGCCAAAATTTAACCATAGGGTTTGAATGAATCCACACACAAAAAAAATAATAATCTGGCTTACTGAGCCCCATCCCCACGCTTTCGCTCGGGAGCCTTTGGCGCCCCCCGATTTTTATTCCTCTTGATCAAAGTTCCGGCCCACTTTTTAAAACAACATATAAACTAATTGGGGGCGCCACAACCGGAATGAATTCAGTTTATGTACGGATGAATGAGGGGCGGATGGGGGGAGGGGAGGGGTATGTCGGAATCAAAGCTAATCCTGTGATAGACTCATCCTGCCCACCCCTCATGTCGGAATCCAAGCTAATCCTGTGGATAGACTCATCCTGCCCACCCATCATGTCGGAATCCAAGCTAATCCTGTGATAGACTCATCCTGCCCACCCCTCCTACAATGCTCAGCTAGATCAACTTGTCTGGAAAAAAAAAAATTGCTGACGCACCACTAGCGCCACATCGCAAAGAGTTACTTCCCCGACTTTTTCCTTTCTTTTACTTTCCAACCGAAGTCCCTGTATTGTTTAAGATCAGAAAGTGATTCTCTTAAGTAGTTGTTCAACAATCAAATCAAGGTTTCAGTTTGTTACACATAAGAATTATTGGACTAGAGTCTAGAGGATACTAGTTTGAGCATCAACATAAAATGAAAAAGATAATGTTATTTTTAGTTTTTCAAGAGGCACTGTTTTATGGAATCTGAGGCATTTGGTCGGTGGGGGCTTGGTGGAAATTGGGCAGTGGGTCGGGGGTATGTGGACATTGGGCAGTGGGTCAGGGGTATGTGGAAATTGGGCAGTGGGTCGGAGGTATGCGGAAATTTTGGCAGTGGGTCGAGGGTATGTGGACATTGGGCAGTGGGTCGAGGGTATGTGGAAATTGGGCAGTGCTGAAATTGGGACGGGGGTTCCCATTAGGTGATAGAGGGGGATGTTAGGAGATACATTCTTTTAAAGGAAGGGAGTTGAAATGCAAAGACGTCCGGTGACAACATCTGCCACTATAGAATGGAAAGTCAAACAATGGAATTTGGTTATAGTCCACAAAGGGACCGGGGTGGGGGTGTGTATTGATATATGACGTCATAGAAATCTGCACGAGATGATAGGAACTAACAAAAATGTCTGAGCGTCAAATGGTGTGTCCACAGGTGTGTCTGGGGAGTACTGCACCTACAACCCCTACACTGGGTACACATCCACTGTCTACTGTGGGTGGGGATGTTGTTACTCGTACATCTATCCATGCTGTGATACGCCTTTGTAAGTACTTCACCACCTTTGTAAATATATATATATATCATTGCCGAGACACGCCTTGGTAAGTACATCTATCATTGCTGGGACACACATTTGTTTATAAGTACATCTATCATTGCTGGGACACACCTTTGTAAGTACGTCTATCATGGCTGGAACACACCTTTGTAGGTACTTCTATCATTGCTGGGACACACCTTTGTAAGTACATCTTTCATTGCTGGGACAAACCTTTGTAAGTACATCTATCATTGCTGGGACACACCTTTGTAAGTACGTCTATTATTGCTGGGACACAGCTTTGTAAGTACGTCTATCATTGCTGGGACACACCTTTGTAAGCACATTATCATTCCTGGGACACATCTTTGTAAGTACATCTATCATTGCTGGGACACACCTTTGTAAGTACATCTATTATTGCTGGGACACACCTTTGTAAGTACATCTATCATTGCTGGGACACACCTTATCATTGCTGGGACACACCTTTGTAAGTACATCTATCATTGCTGGAACACACCTTTGTAGGTACTTCTATCATTGCTGGGACACACCTTTGTAAGTACATCTTTCATTGCTGGGACAAACCTTTGTAAGTACATCTATCATTGCTGGGACACACCTTTGTAAGTACGAAAGTACATCTATCATTGCTGCGACACACGCTATCATTGCTGGGACACACCTTTGTAAGTACATCTATCATTGCTGGGACACACCTTATCATTGCTGGGACACACCTTATCATTGCTGGGACACACCTTTGTAAGTACATCTATCATTGCTGGGACACACCTTATCATTGCTGGGACACACCTTATCATTGCTGGGACACACCTTATCATTGCTGGGACACACCTTTGTAAGTACTTCTATCATTGCTGGGACACACCTTATCATTGCTGGGACACACCTTTGTAAGTACTTATATCATTGCTGAGCCACCTTTGAAAGTACTTTACCATTCCATACCATACCCACCTTTGTAATCCATCTATGATTGCTGGGACACGCCTTTGTATACACTTCACACATCTAAGAACCTGGTCCACAGCTACGGTGACACCCCATTCATAGCCGGCACTTGCACAGCTGGAGCATTCGTCATCATAGCCGCGATCGCTGCCATCTGCATAAGAAACAGAAGACGAATTCAGACGACTGTCCAATACACTAATCCTGGGGGTCAGCAGGTCTTCTCTACATGTATGTGCCTCCGCAAACTGGTGGTTTGCTTTTCCCTGCAGCATAATTTTATGATTTAATTTATAAATTCCAGCATTATTTAAAAAAAAAAAAAAATTAATAAAAGTAATTTTAAATGAAATTAAGTAATTTTATCACTATTGTAAGTTATTTAATGAAATAATCTCTCTAAACTAATTGTCACCATTACACTAAATTGTTTCCCTTTACTCCAATCGTCTCCCCTTTTTCCTCAGCAATGAACACTAACGTTTCAACTGGCTACTCTGCCCCTGTGTCTGGATTCGCTAACAACGGTTACCGTGCGTACTAGGTCGTTTGCCTGTCGTGGTGGATTTTCTGGCAAGGTTCAGTCGCTGCAAGCCAGGAGAAGATTATTAAAATTATTATATATTTTTTTAAATTCAATTTTTAGAAATATTTTGAATGACTCTTTATGAAAGTTGTCATGTCCTTGAGACAGAAGAGAGTTGGCATCGTTTTTTTCTCATAAACTAATTTCTAACATTCGGAGAGGTGTGTGGGGTGGGTGGGGGTGGGGTTAGGATGGGGGGTAGTTAACATTTTAGAGCAGTGCTTCTTAAACTTTCAATTATGGAGAATTGACGATTTAAATAACATGCGTTAGAAATTGAGACAATGTAAACAATGTTCTGGTCCTATTTCTATTTCGTATTTTGGAATATGCATTGACTCGCAGCCTACTTGTTTCATCAACCTTTTTGATTTATGAAATTACTAAATAAGATAAGATTATTTTTATTGATTCAAACAAAGGATTAATTATTTTTTTTTAAATGCATGTTTGATACAGTGAAACTGGTTAAATCCAGTCAAATTTATGCAAAAAAAAAAATATATATTTTAAAAATATCTTCAATTGCGTGTTAACTCAAAACGTGACATTTTTATTTTTGCATGTGTTGTAACTGTGACATGTTTTAGTGCATGTGTTGTAAATGTGACATTAATATTTCTGAATGTGTTGTAAATGGGGCATTTTGATTTCTTCTGAGTTGCAACATGAAAAAAACAACAACTATAAAATCATGTAGTTGTGTTTATACATTAAAAATAACATTTTAAAAAATTCATTATTTGTTTTGTTCTCATCCAATACATTTTTGATTTGCAACTTTATAAAAAGGATGCATTCGAGTTAGATCAAATAAATATTTTTAACGATTACATTACAAGGTGTTCAATTTATTGATCAGACCAGTACTGAAATTTAATTTGTTTTTTAAAGTAATTCTGTTTTGTTCTACGTTTGCTAATGAGATTCAAGGGAGGGATGGGCAAAGCTTACTAAAATGAACCATCAAGACCTATGGCAGGAAATAACAATGTCCCATGGCTACTCAGTATTTGGCTATGACCAGTGCCCCATAGCTACTCAGTATTTAGCTGTTACCAGTGCCCCCATAGCTACTCAGTATTTGGCTATGACCAGTGCCCCCATAGCTACTCAGTATTTAGCTGTGACCAGTGCCCCCATGGCTACTCAGTATTTGGCTGTGGCGAGTGCCCCCATAGCTACTCAGTATTTGGCTGTGACCAGTGCCCCCATAGCTACTCAGTATTTGGCTGTGGCCAGTGCCCCCATAGCTACTCAGTATTTGGCTGTGACCAGTGCCCCCATAGCTACTCAGTACTTGGCTGTGGCCAGTAACCCCATAGCTACTAAGTATTTGGCTGTGACCAGTGCCCCCATAGCTACTCAGTACTTGGCTGTGGCCAGTACCCCCATAGCTACTCAGTATTTTGCTGTGACCAGTGCCTCTTAAGTCCTTCAACCATGCATCATGCTAAAGAAAAATGGTTAGGAAAGCATTATGTGGTCATTTTCAAACTTCTTCTTTGCAGTGTTGGATTTACCATAACGCCAAATGAAGCCAAGACTTTTGACTAAAAGCGATCAAGACCATTTTAATCATTTCTGCTGGGTCTGATTCTGCCTGTGGGTGGGCACATGGCTGATGAGAACCATTCTGCCTGTGGGTGGGCAGATGGCTGATGAGAAAGATTCTGCCTGTGGGTGGGCAGATGGCTAATGAGAAAGATTCTGCCTGTGGGTGGGCACATGGCTGATGAGAAAGATTCTGCCTGTGGGTGGGCAGATGGCTGATGAGAACGATTCTGGCATGAAATTCTTTTGTGCAGTTGGACCAAGCGATGGGTGGGACTTCTTCACGTGCAGAGTTAAACCGGGCTTCTCGGGCTTCTATCCAGCTGCTTTTGTGTTCGCTTCGTGTCTTATGGCGCCTTTGTGTTGGAAGGAGCATCACGAAGCTCGATCCTTGCCCTGTTCATCCCACGTGTCCGCGTCTGTAGCGAACGCATTCAGTGACGCATTTAGGTTGTTTTTTTTTTTAAACGTGTCTTCTGCCCACCCCCAGCATAAAATATCCTTTTGGGCAAGCGGTCGTCTCACAACATTCTCACTTCCTGACAAGCCAGCTGATAAATATGGTCAAATGATGGGGGACCTCGGTGTCTAGGACCTTGTCTTCCCATTAGATATTGAGTACCTTGGTGTCTGACACCTTGTCCTGCCATTTGATTTAGAGTACCTCGGTGTCTGAGACCTTGTCTTCCCATTAGATATTGAGTACCTCGGTGTCTGAGACCTTGTCTTCCCATTAGATATTGAGTACCTCGGTGTCTGAGACCTTGTCTTCCCATTAGATATTGAGTACCTCGGTGTCTAGGACCTTGTCCTGCCATTTGATTTAGAGCACTTCGGTGTCTGAGACCTTGTCTTCCCAATAGATATTGAGTACATCGGTGTCTAGGACCTTGTCTTCCCATTAGATATTGAGTACCTCGGTGTCTGAGACCTTGTCCTGCCATTTGATTTAGAGTACCTCGGTGTCTGAGACCTTGTCCTGCCATTTGAGTTAGAGTACCTCGGTGTCTGAGACCTTGTCCTGCCATTTGATTTAGAGTACCTCGGTGTCTGAGACCTTGTCTTCCCATTAGATATTGAGTACCTCGGTGTCTGAGACCTTGTCCGTCTGAAGCTTTCGTTTGCAAGTGGTTTAAATGTATTGCATGATACTTGTAGTAACCCCCCCCCCCCACACACACACACACAAATTTTACTTTCACAGAGAATCACAGGGAGCACAGCCGCCTTGTAGACTTTTATTTTAGTTGGTGCTCATACATCTCCTGGTACATACATTTTAGACAATGTGCCATATATGGTGCACTGATACCTCACCTGGTCCACGCATTCTTAGACATTTTGCCATAAGTTTCAATTACAGTTAAAATTAAAGCTGGTAAAGAAAGATTTAATCATCCAATCACAGTTAGGCGAAATCGCAGGACGAAATTCACAACGCCTGGGATTATTATTTTTAGTATTATTAGTTGATTCCCACACCGCTAATCGCCTTTCTCCACGCTCCCGGATAACCCAAAAGAACATCTTGTGGCACCAGGGGCGTCGCAGGCGTTGCCAATGTTATCCTCTTACGGAACTCCATCTCTGGGTTTTAATTCAGAATTTCCTTCTTTAGATAAGTTGCCATCCAATATTAACGAGTCCCATCCACCCGGGATGCTGGTGATGTTTTTGCCTGACTAGTAAAGAAAGTTTTGCCTTCAGTCACAGTTAGTATTAAAACTAGTAAAGAAAGATTTTATCATTCAATCACGGCTAGAAGTAAAACTGATAACGAAAGACTTTGCCTTCGAATTTTCATTAGGGCGTTCAATGTTAAAACTTATGAATATGTCTTCTTATCAAATATGAACATCACTAGCTGAAACTGATCACACGAACTCAATGGCCGAGATATTCACAACGGCGCCAGCTGTGAAATTGTTAGTTATATCTCGAATTTGCCTTACCAGCAGGAGACAGAAAGGAAGAATGCTGGCGATAAAAAATAACATTGTGAAACGAAGACTTGTGTGGAATGTCAGATGCTGTTGTGTGGGATGTCAGATACTGTTGTGTGGGATGTCAAATACTGTTGTGTGGGGTGTAAGATACTATTGTGTGGGGTGGCAAATACTGTTGTGTGGGGTGTAAGATACTGTTGTGTGGGGTGTAAGATACTGTTGTGTGGGGTGTAAGATACTGTTGTGTGGGGTGTAAGATACTGTTGTGTGGGGTGTCAGATTCTGTTGTGTGGGGTGTCAAATACTGTTGTGTGGGGTGTAAGATACTGTTGTGTGGGGTGTAAGATACTGTTGTGTGGGGTGTAAGATACTGTTGTGTGGGTTGTAAGATACTGTTGTGTGGGGTGTAAGATATTGTTGTGTGGGATGTCAGATACTGTTGTGTGGGGTGCAAGATACTGTTGTGTGGGGTGTAAGATACTGTTGTGTGGGGTGTAAGATACTGTTGTGTGGGGTGTAAGATATTGTTGTGTGGGATGTCAAATACTGTTGTGTGGGTAGTAAGATATTATTGTGTGGGGTGTAAGATACTGTTGTGTGGGGTGTAAGATACTGTTGTGTGGGGTGTAAGATAATGTTGTGTGGGTGTCAAATACTGTTGTGTGGGTGGCAAATACTGTTGTGTGGGTGGCAAATACTGTTGTGTGGGATGTCAGGTACTGTTGTGTGGGATGTCAGATACTGGTGTGTGGGATGTCACGTACTATTTCAAAGATTAAATTAACAGTGTAGCTTTTTAGTTCGAGCATGGCGCTGAAAGGCAACACAGTTCATCCATCGCCAGTCGATTGCATTTTGTGGGATATGATTGTGACTTGTAGAATAGGATTGTGACTTGTGGGATAGGATTGTGATTTGTGGGACATGATTGTGACTTGTGGGAAAGGATTGTGACTTGTGGGATATGATTGTGACTTGTGGGATATGATTGTGGCTTGTGGGAAATTATTGTGACTTGTGGGATATAATTGTGACTTGTGGGAAATGATTGTGACTTGAGGGATATGATTGTGACTTGTGTGATATGATCGTGACTTGTGTGATATGATTGTGACTTGTGGGATATAATTGTGACTTATGGGAAATGATTGTGACTAGTGGGATAGTATTGTGATTTGTGGGATATGATTGTGACTTGTGGGATATGATTGTGACAATTGAACTCTTGAAGAATTTACCCTTCAATGAATTCTGACAAATAACAACGGAAGAAAATGACGTGGTCATTGATTGGGAGCAACGTGGGGGACTGGGTGTAAAGGAAGACTCTCCTAGTGGACGTGAGTGAAGGCCGCAGCGTGACCAGGCCGTTTGGGGTCAAACTTTGGCATCCTAGGGAAGCCTTGGCGGTCAAATTATGGCAGGTGTTTTAACTGCAACTGTCCAAGAATTTGGACAAATATATCACAGGTCTTTTAACTGCAACTATCCAAGAATGTGGACAAAGATATGACAGGTCTTTTAACTGCAACTGTCCAATAATGTGGACAAGATATGACAGGTCTTTTAACTGCAACTGTCCAAGAATGTGGACAAATATATGACAGGTCTTTTAACTGCAACTGTCCAATAATGTGGACAAGATATGACAGGTCTTTTAACTGCAACTGTCCAATAATGTGGACAAGATATGACAGGTCTTTTAACTGCAACTGTCCACGAATGTGGACAAAGATATGGCAGGTCTTTTAACTGCAACTGTCCACGAATGTGGACAAAGATAAGACATAACTTTTAATTGCAACTATCCAAGAATGTGGACAAAGATATGACATAACTTTTAATTGCAACTATCCAAGAATGCGGACAAAGATATGACATAACTTTTAATTGCAACTATCCAAGAATGTGGACAAAGATATAAAAAAACTTTTAATTACAACTATCCAAGAATGTGGACAAAGATAAGACATAACTTTTAATTGCAACTATCCAAGAATGTTAACAAAGATATGACATAACTTTTAATTGCAACTATCCAAGAATGTGGACAAAGATATGACATAACTTTTAATTGCAACTATCCAAGAATGTGAACAAAGATATGACATAACTTTTAATTGCAACTATCCAAAAATGTGGACAAAGATAAGACATAACTTTTAATTGCAACTATACAAGAATGTGAACAAAGATATGACATAACTTTTAATTGCAACTATCCAAGAATGTGGACAAAGATATGACATAACTTTTAATTGCAACTATCCAAGAATGTGAAAAAAGATATGACATAACTTTTAATTGCAACTATCCAAGAATGTGGACAAAGATATAA